ATAGCAGAAGTGCTGCCACGTGTCTGGTCAGAAAGAGAGTACCAATGTATTTATTTGGTAGTTCAATGAAAGGCTTCAGTTAGTTACTGTAAGCGTGAGGGAAAAAATTGTATTCACAATTGAAGTTAAACTTACTAGTTGAACACTAAAGTGGCCCTCCAATGAGATGACAGTACCAGCAGTGGCCCACAGCTCAGACCCCTGCCCTAGACTTTTGCATACTACATTAGATGCTGCATGCCTTTTTTTCTTTAGTAAAGATAAAAAGGCATGCTAAGTGAAAGACATATTTAAAATGCATGTGTGGATTAAAGGGATTTTCTATAGTTATGTGTGAATAAAGTGATAGCATGGTCCAGCTCAAAGGCTTGCTCTTTCACCTCCTCCTCCTCGCTGGTATGCAAAATAAAGGGGAGAAGTAACTTTGTGAGCTTCAGGTCTTCCATCAATTTTGTTGGTTTTAAAAAAGGAAAGAGATGGAGCAGTAAAGAAAGTCAACAGACCAGCAGAACACACTGCTATTTGTGAAGTTCAGTGTTAATTTTTAATGGTAACACACATGGGGCGATTGTGGCTCAAGAGTTGGCAGTTCGTCTTGTAATCGGAAGGTTGCTGGTTCTCGGTCGTTGTGTCCTTGGGCAAGACCCTTCACCCGTTGCCTACTAGTGGTGATCAAAGGGCCCGGTGGGGTCAGTGTCCGGCAGCCTCGCCTCTGTCAGTGCACCCCAGGGCAGCTGTGGCTACAATGTAGCTTGCCATCACCAGTGTGTGAATGTGTGGATGACTGAATGTAGTGTAAAGCGCTTTGGGGTCCTTAGGGACTAAGTAAAGCGCTATACAAATACAGGCCATTTACCATTTACATGCATGCGCCTCATTTTGAAATATAAAGTATTATTTTCTTGATAGAAGCAATTAATCAACTCTTCATATATGTACCCAGCAGTTCAATTATGTGCATTCCCTGGTGCAGCCTGCTTTAAGCAAAAATAACTACTGCTGTCCAGTTCATTCTAATTAATACATTGTATGCTTTAATGTGCACTTGACCCTGGAGTTTCACATCAGTTCTGCCAAATCGCCCTGGCAAAGCAAATAAAGTTGTATTTAATATTGTATTTCAATTTTTAACACTGTATTCTAAGCCACATATTTGAGCCTGTAGATATTACTGTAAAAATCTTCCTGCACACAGAAATCTCACATTTCATCTTTGATTGTATCTGAAGCATGTGTATACATATTCTATTTGTTTAATAAAATAAACTGACTTCAAGCAAAGTATCCAATGAAAGAGAACTAAGAACTTTTAGAAACATTTCTGTTGAAGCAATTAACTTCAATTTGACAGGAACACAAAAAGTGCATGTATTTAACACCAGTCAAGTTTTACAGAAGCATTTTCCTTTATAGTTTTACTTAAACTATTATATTTCTGCTGTCACCCCATGCAATTTATAGTCAGCACTCCTTGAGTGGACTTGGACTTTCTTTAAAAAGTCTACAGTGTTACTTCCATGAAATGTGCAGATGAAATGCTCAGTGCAATGAAAACCATTTTCTGGTGGACTGAAATGTCATTTAAAAGACATTGCCCAATGAAGCAAAAAAATAAATAAAATAAAATAAAAATTACGGCCATGAAAAAGAAGCCATCAATATGATTTTGTGTAAATTATTTCTGGGGATTCATGGTAGAGATTTGGATATAGACCAAAACTGTTTTAAGACAAGAAATTCTGAAAAGTGTTTTTATTCAATAACAATTCCTGAATTTTAAAATTTTTTCTTACAATAAAATTGATTTTTCTTTGCTGCATTTCAGGTTTGTTTGACCTTTTTACAGCAGAAAAGAAAAAGACAACCTGCACCGGTGGTCAAAACCACTTGGAAGGGACCACATGGCAATCAAGAAGGCACTCCTTGATAGTCATTTGAATTTTGGGCCATGAGGGTGACCAAATGTCCCTCAGAACGTGGCACAGCGTTTTTGTTCCCTGTGCTCCTGTGGCACTGTGACTAGTTCTAAAGGACATTTAGAACTAGCGCTTATTAGTCTGGTTTTTACCCACATCTATGTACATGAAAGGAAAACTTTTTGTTATAGTCTGAAGAAGGTTAGCCAGTCTAATGCCCTACTCCTCAGCAGATAAGATAAGATGAGGCTTGATTATTCAAGACCTTGTATGTGAGGAGCATGATTTTGAATTAAATTCTGGATTTAACAGGGAGCCAATGAAGGGAGGCCAATACAGGAGAAATATGCTCTCTCTTTCTAGTCACTGTCAGTACTCTTGCAGCAGCAAATGTTTAATATGATGGAAACTATCACAAACAAAAATGGAACAGCAGTATGTTCTGAGAAATTGATTTTTGGTCTTTTTTGCCAATGTTATTTTTCATTTTCACTTTGGGGGGGAAATGTTGTGTGAAATCACTTAGTATATGTCTCAAGGTCTGGCTGTGTGGCAGGCAGGATGGGACCCAAATGCAGGACTCGCGACCCGAAAGAGTGAACTAAGGGAGGCAGCTTTATTTTGAGTGTACAAAAATTCAAATACTAAATACAAGAAAACTAAAACAAAAGCTAGACACTAGAGACAAGGATAAAACTTGTAAACTGAGAAACTAGAATTAAGCATTGCAAGGCTCATAGAGGAACATGCAGCTATAGCAGTAGCATGAAACAACAATGGACAGAGGAGAACACGGGGCTTAAATACACAAGAGAGTAATGAGGGAATGGGAAACAGGAGGGAAACACAGCTAGTGCTAATCTGACATAACAAGACGAGGAGTTAGCAAAACTGAATACATTGAACACAGGAAGAGGAACTATCAAAATAAAAAAGAGAAACACACCAACCAAAGACACACAAGTTTAACACAGTGACTGGGGAGACATAGGGAACATAGAGACAAAGTTGACTATACATGAAACGTGGGACACGGGAAAAGCACAGACATGTGACAAGGGAACAGAGACTAAACACAGATAAATACTAAGGGAGAAAGAACTAACATCACTAAGAACTTAAGAAATAAAGATAACCAAAACCAGAAATAACAAAAGTCAAAGAATATTAAATCAGAATCTGAAACATAAATATTGGGTCACAGACCCAGTACTGTAACAATATGTGTGTCATAACTGGATAAAGTTTGCAAAGTTTACAAAAGCAATTGACCATAATTAAAGAATATTGGCCTGAGCATATACCAACTATTGATTGAGATCATAAGGACAAACCAAATTGTTGGAAATATGATATGTTTGGCCTGTACAAGCTAAATGATAATCCTGTATCAGCCACAATTTATTGTATTTTTAATTTTAGTTTAGATATCAAAATTTCAGAGTAACTCTCAGCATTGTTCACCTGTCCCATGTTGTCCCACATAAACACTGTGTTTGCCCCACATTTTATTTGTTAGAATCTGGACAGCCTATGTGAATATTAAACCCTTGTTTTGGACACACAAAATTGCGTCAAAAAATGTTTCAAAGATCTTCAATTATAGCACCCTCTTAAATCCGTCGCTACATCCTCTCCCTATAAACACTTTCAAATTTATTTGAGGATAGCCCACATTGTGTGCGTTTCCAAACAAATTACCTTTAAGTGAAAGTGGTTATCAAGCTACTCAGCATATTCTGCATCTATAAAGCCTACTAACCACAATCTGTGTGTCTGGTAAAGAGGTGATAAGATCCGACACAAGGTCCGGTGCCCCAGTTCTTAATAATAATAATAATAATAATAATAATAATAATAATAATAATAATAATAATAATAATAATAATAATAATAATAATAATTTATTCATTCATTTCAGTTATGTTTGAGCATTAACGTAAATGTTTAGAACTCGGTTTATCGCCCATAAAACACAGTCAAAGGATTTGTTAAATTCAAAAAACGTTGCTCATGGTTTTCAGATTGAGGACTCAGATTTCAGCGTTGCGCAAGAAGTTCACATAAGAAATCTTTTGACTTCACCAGTGCTGAACATTTATGAAATGGAGTGGCATTTATCGATTGCCAAAGTCGCATACTTATCAAAGTATACTTTGTCTTGCATCCACACAATCAGACTATGTAAATTAAAACAGATCCCATTCGCCAGAAAGCACACTAATGTTAAAGGGCTGGACATCGCATTGAAACCATAGCGAGTAAAAACTGTGGTGAGCTCATGTGTAGCTGTAATCTGTGGTGCACGGCAGTCGCCCGTATATATTGTGTGTATTGTTAGTGATGTCCCTCACACACCCCGCTATTATAAAATATTCATGGTAGACTTGATACGAGCCTGTCTGGTCACATGACTTTCAAGGTCACCCACCCTCACGTTTGTGTTTGAGAGCTACATACAATGCAGGCTAAAAAAAAAAATTGTATACATACGCACAGACAATTCTGTTTTGTTCTACAGGAGCTTCTAGGATTATCTTCACGGAACATCAATTATTATTATTATTATTATTATTATCACACATCACGCTCAAGGTCAGGGTCTTTTTTGTCCCCCCCCCCACCTCCTTATTCTCTCTGTCTCTCTCTCTCTCTCTCTCTCTCTCTGTCTGTCTGTCTCAAACGCACGCACAGTGCAGGCTAAAAGAACTTGCAGAAAGCGCAAAGAAAATAACACGATTTGAAGTCTCTACTCAGTTTTGTTCTGGAATTATTATTATTATTATTATTATTATTATTATTATTATTATTATTATTATTATTATTATTATTATTATTATTATACGAATTATTCACGAAATATTGAACTGATATGAATTGCTAAGTTAACTTTATTTAAAATTAAAATACTGTTCACGTTAGTTCTCCGTAATGTTAATGTTATGGATAGAATGTTCAAAAAGGGAAGAGAGGAACGAAAGTTTTTGTTTAGCATTTTTTAAATAATATTTTTATAAATACTTCTAAACAAGTAGATATATTAAAACACATTTCCAATGTCTATGATAATAATAAGTACACTAATGATTTTTTTTTCTTCTCCCATACGCGGTTCTGTCACAGGCATGGAAAACCAGAATGCTTGCCATTCCATGAGACAGGCTTCCACCACAGGGAGCGTTCCTCCAGAGGCAGACTTGGTAAGTGAATCTGGTCTATCGTGAACAGTTTTAATCAACAAGCGCAAAATGGATTCCTCTGTTGTTTGTCTAATTTCGGATATCAGTTTTCAATGTTAAATAAAAGTTTGTTTGCCTCCTCAAGGCATAGAAAATTATTTTAAAAACATAACACCTTTATTGGGATGGGACAAAATTTATTTAGTGTTACACTGTGATTTGGTTACTGTTTTACATGCGATATAAACAGTATGGAGAGCATAGTAGTTATGCTATAGGCTACTTGGCACGGACAACACTGACAGTGGAAGACATACACTAGACAGATATATTATCAAAGCAGTCAGGAAAGTTCTGAAATTACAGTCTGTGAGAGGTCCCACTTCCAGTTTCTTTACTTTTTCCCATTCACTGTTAATTATCTCAACTGTTACGAATTGTCCAAAGAGCAGTGACCTGCATGCTATTGAGTACTGCTCTTCACTTTGGCCACGAATTTTTTCTCCTTCACCCTCCTGTTCTGGAACCAGATGGTAATCTGTCGCTCTGACAGGTTGGTCACGGCCGAAATCTTTCTCCTCTTGTCCTTTGTGATGAACTTGTTGGCTGCGTACTCTTTCTCTAGCTCTTTGAGCTGGACCTTGGTGTAAGGTATCCGCTTCTTCCTGCCTCGGCGGAAAGACAAGCTGTCGTTCTGGTGCGCCACCACATCTGTCAAAGAGAAAAAGCCAGTCTGAAGGTGATGGGCTGCACATACCATGATACATTTTCAAGCTCTACACTCCACGATTGCTGTAATAGTGTAAGTGCCGATAAAATATTTGTCGAGCACAATTTAGCATCTTTAAGGAAGTGAACGGGAACTTTATGTTTGGATCGGACTGGATACAATCCTGCGAGGCAGACGGGAAACGAATATCTGCTGTCTGGGTTAAGTTCAAATTGACCTACAAAAAATGGCGTCTTTAAACACAGTGCACGCATCTATTCTACTCCACACAGACTGTCACAAGGATAGCATTTTGTGTCTTCTCTTGACTTTGTGTTTACGGTGTTTTTAGTTTAATTCTACATTTGTGCGATGTGTGTGTTAAATAAAGAGAGAAGTGGAGTGGGCGTTAGGGTTTTTTCCTTTTAACTCACACATTACAGTCCTGTTCACTGTGAATATTGGGCCAAGAGGATTAATTATTTCCATCATTATTATTGAATTAATTACAATGTTAATAATGAAAGTTAATTTTCCTGTTTATTTAATTTATTTATTCATTCATTAATTTTAGCAGTGGCAGCAGAGTAACATGTCTCTCATCATAATAACCATTATGATAACCATTAAATTAACTGGAAGGCCCCAGCAATAGAATGATTATCTCACTTGGTTAATAAACGATATTGAACGAAACACCAAAATGTTTTTCACTCTGCACCAAGAGATGGCAATGCAAGGCTCATTTCTAAGTTAGAGTCTGCAACATGTTGGTATTTTCACAATATCAAGGATCCAATCAACTTGACGTTAATTTTCACTTGTACGTGACGCCCTAAACTAGATGGGGATTCAAGGGCAGTGATTAACCTCAGCCATCACAAACCTCAAGCACATTATTGCCTTGCTTTTGCAAAGAAACTCGATGCATTAACCGCCTAATTTTAGTCCAAATTTATGAAGACGATAATTTACTATCGGAGCAAATTAATCATCCGAGATGTTTTTTGTTTTAACAAATGTCAATCCTTTAATTTCTTAATTGTTATTAAATGTAATTTTTATTAAATAAATATGTTCAGTTGCGTCATAGTTACAAAAAATCTGTTAGAGTTCTGTTTAACTGTTTTAAAATCGTTATTATGAACCCTGAAAGCAGCAGTACTCACCAGCCAGAGCGGACTTCCAGAGGTGGCCGGCCTGTCCCTGATCTTTGGAGCAGTACATCTGTCCTCCCCAGGCGTTGGTCAGAGCCCAGGGCTGGTAGCTGTCCATGGGCAGCAGGGTGTCATGGCGCGGTTCCCCGGTGCCGAGTGTTTGGACCACCGACACATCCAGGTAGCTGGCCATCGACTGGTATGGGCTGGCATAGCCATGGTAAAAGGCGAACTCCTTGGCCCGGTGGTTCGGATATTCGTCTGAGCTCACTGTTGTGTCCATGTACTGCGAGCTGAGAGCGGCTCCGGCCGCTTGTGTACAGGACTTAAGAGGAGCCCGACCCATCCTGCATGGGTAGTAGCCGTTACCAAAGTAGCTGTAGGGTAATGCGGTTGCGGCCGACGAGCTCTGGTGCGGCACAGCCGCACATTGCTTCCCCGAAGAGGCAGCGGTCTCACCGGAGCCTGAAGCGGACACATCCACTGTGGAATACCCACCTGAAGAGTGCACCAAACTGGACGGGTGGCCACCCAGAGCAGCGGCGGCCGCCGAATGTGCCATGATGTTGCGGCACTGGCTTGCTGCAGTGGCAGCGGCAAAGTTGCCGCTGCCTACCAGCCCCTCCATGTTCTTGTTCAACTCGTCCACGTTGTTGTCATACACAAACATTACCGTTTCCACTGGCCAGCGAGGGTTGAGTACTAAAGAGGCTGTCATATGCCCACCCTTCCCCGTTTTGGCCTTCGTGTGCCTCAGACTCCGTCCGTTCCTGGCGCTAAGCTGCTACATTTGCTGAATGAGGCTGATCACTGGCGCTCACTACACATACATACATATACACACACACACACACACAAATACAAACACACACACACAAACGCAGCTCAAGAAATGTACTTGTACAGCACTATCATAGCACGGTATGCTGCTTTGTTGGAGTGACGTGTCATTGGGTGTCATTCGGTAGCAAAGACTCCCACTAACCGGCCGGATCTCCACTTACATCCCAGCCGCAGCCTTGACGCAACAAGCCCCCTGGACCAAGAGAAGTAACGGGAGCATAACTATTGGATGAGACAGGGTGATCACGTGATGGGACAAACGCAAAAAGAAGAGTAGAAGAGACTAGTTGAGGACTGTCAGTGAGAGGAGGGGGAAAAAAGCATTTTATGAGTTTCCAGCTGTGATATGAGAAGGGAATGAGCAGATTCGCTTTAGCTTACTGTAGTTTGGTTTACTTTAGTTTGTCTCTGCAGCTGCCTTTGCGTCAGACTCAAGTCTGTGATGTGATGTTCTCTGGTCGATACTAAGAGTGACATTACCTTAGTCTGCCTAAAGAAAGAAAGAAAGAAAGAAAGAAAGAAAGACAATGAAAATAAATCACTAGACCAACTTCTTTTGTGTCGTACATAAAAGTACGTGGTGCAAATGGACTCGGCAATATCTAAAATGGACTCGCCAATATCTGAACTGACCGTTTAGATAATCACTTTTTCAATAACTATACTCTCCATTCTACACTGGCAGCACACCTGAACCACAAGAAACAAAAATGTAAACTGTAAAGTGTATAAGTTTCAAACTGATTTGAAACTTATACACTTTCAGAGAAACTGAAATTTTGTTGTGTAAATGTTATTTATTTATTCAATATTTATTCTTCCTTTAATATGGAACTCCAGATGCTCAGTTTTATACAGATGTGAACACATTTAAAATCGGTGCTTCTCAAATGCATGAAAAACTTATTATTAATTTATCATTACCGTGAATGTTTTCAAGCCTTCTAAAGCAAAGTTTGGCTATTAAAATAAATGCACCCACTGGAACATTTCTCCACCTAGTGAAAAATCAGGTTTTAGTTTAACTCGCTCTCAGTCGTTCTGACTAAAGTAAACGTTAAGGAGATTTATGGAAGGGTTTTGGAGTTCTTAAAACTTGAGAAAAACGGCTTTGGTTGAAAGTGTCTCGGAAAGGTTTCCGCGGCACTCAAGGGCCGTTATATTAAGAAACAATTTCACTACGGGGAAGTTATTGTTCTCATTTTTTATAGGAGACGGGAACTTAGTCTGCGCTTGGTTTGAAATTAATCCTTCTGATGCTCCTCTATACTGTAATTGAAATTACTGTAATTATTTTTATTTTGAATCACTCCATGTGCCGTATACATGAAGGCTAAATAAGCCGTAAGTGAGAAATTAGTGAATTTCCTAAAGGTTATTAATGAACATGAAGACATGGAAAAGAAATGGTTGGTCAATGAAATACTGCAGACAGGAACCATTATTTTGCTTCAATACATGTTTTATCTCTGGCCTGCAATGAACCTATATGACTACTTCTTCTGCAAATAATTTAAAAGGAAACTTAAAGATTAAGCATTTTTTCAGTTTTTTATTCATTCTAGAATAATTTTGTTCAAGTTCATTATCTACAGAAAGCAGATCTAAAGAGAAATGTGGTGGGTAAAATAAACTCCTTACACATTACCATGAGCTCTTAACCCGAAGCTTCCAGCCTAAAAGCGTAGGGCCACTCATTTGAGTTCACTGGATTTTCATCATTTTCACCAGGGAGTCCGCCATTAGGCGCATATACGGTGGGGAAGTTCACTTTTACGTGTGCCGCAGAATTAATCCAAACACATTAATATCAGATCTTGTTTTCAGTAACATTACAGTGACAGACTTTAGGATCACGTGTGAAGCCAACAGCCTGTACAATGTGAAGAATGCGGAAGTTTACTTCTCACCAAGCTACATAAAGAGGAAATCAAGTCTTTGTTTGAGCTTTGTGGTCATAGAGCAGTGGCTGGATCCGTACAGTATAAAGAAATAAGCCGTTATAATGGACTTTAAATAAATAAAATATAATAATCTGTGCAATAATTTAAATGTTTTGAAATATATTAGAATTCAAAATTAGCAACACAAGCTGAATGTAAAACTTGTATCTAAAATATATTCTGCAGTTCAGGTTGGGTATCAGACGCCACCTCTCTGGGGACATCTTAGGCCCTCCAAGGTTTGGAGGCCTATCTCCCCCTACCACCACTTCCCCTGCCAGTGGTGGACTCCCTCAGACATCGGTGCGTTGGTGGTTCTTTGTGTCCGGGGATGGGCGTCCAGGTACACACCGGCTCACTCCTTGGCGGCCGCTTATCGGGGCCTGGAGCCTGGGGCTTGTTCGGGCCACTTCGGAGGTGGGGTGCCCCCGGCCTCTCGGCCTGGGGCTCGGTCACTCAGGCACGGCTGGCTGCCGGCGGAGCTCACGGGCGCGTCACTGCAACTCCCCCTGGCTTCTGCTCCGCGGCTGCTGAGTGACCCCTCATCTGGGACTCTCCTCAGCTCTTTCTGGGACAGTGGCGCGGCTGCCCCTCTGTTGGTCTTCCTTGGTCTCTTGTGTTCTGGGGGCCTCTGGATGTCTGGAGTTTTGATCTCCTCCATACCTGCTTCATGCCCTGGAGGACGGGGCTGTGGCCCCCCCACACCCTCTAGCAGATCATTACATGAAGGAACCTTTTAAAAAACAAAAAACAAACGCGTCCATGCTCACAGGTGTACACACGGGTGATCACACCCACAAACTACACCCTTTTTGGCTCCTACCTCAAAGCACACTGTGTTCTGTTGATCTTATGTGCTGCACAATAATGTTTAACATTTAGTATTTACTGTCATATTCCCATATATCATTGTGATGTTGTTTATTCTATTACTCTTGTTCTCTTCTGCTTGCTTTCTTTTTTCTTTCTCAGCAGGTGACCCAGGTGATTGATATATGCATTTTTTTTTCTTCTTTTTTTTCTTTTTTCTGCTCATTCTGTTGGTTTTTGGTTTTTGCCCTTCTCCCCCGTCCCTCTTCTCAGCTGTTTCTCTTTCCCTCTTTCTTTCTCCCCTTCTTTCCTCCAGTCAAGTCTGTCCCGTATTCAGTAAGTGAAAATAAAATAAACAATAAAAGGTGAATCAAATGGACCATTATGGCAAGGCTGGGATGGTCAATTTGGTAAAGTAAATAAATCCGTTGGGCATCTTTCTTTGCCTTTAGACAACAATTCTGATGGCAAGAGAGCCAAACGGGACAGGCAAAATAAAATAAAATAAAATAAATAAATAAATAAATAAATAAATAAATAAATAAATAAATAAATAAATAAATAAAATAAATAAAATAAAATAAAATATATTCTTACACATGTAACCATCACGGTGTTTATTCCAGCTCACTATCAGGTGAACTCGAATAAACACTATTATATTTAATATTTATATAGCGCTTTTATACTAAAAGTGAGCACTTGAAGCGTTTTTCTTACTAAAGGTCTCAATCAAGCATTCACACAAGTGCTTTTTTCTATGCATGAACACTTTTAAAGTAATGTTCATACACTCAGATGGCTGCAACTTGCTCACAGACACTTCTACATGCAGGTTGGGGAAACCAGTAGACGACCGGCTAAACCTCCTGTCCTATCCTCACTTGCCGTCACAATATGACTATACTATCACAATATCAAAACAAGGAAAGAAAATATTCGTTTTAATTCTATATTTTTGTTGTAATATCTTTAATTGTTATTGACTGTTATATAAACATTTCACTGTGCAATAGTTCTGTGTATGTGACAAATACAATCTTAAATCTTGAAGCTGCCAATGAATAAATAAATAAATACATAAATATTCACAATATTGCCATCAGTTATATTCATATGCAACATTTATTTTCCTTGTGTTGTTTTAAAGCAAATGAATAAGTCTGAAAATACAAGTGAATGGGGCGCCAGTATGATAAATTTACACAGTTAACATTAAGTCCATGATAAGCATAATATCTATAATTGTTATTCTGAAATATCACCAATATAGTCCGTAAACATTATTGATAGGATATTTTTAAATTTCTATTCCTAAATAATTTTAAAATATTTTTTTTTTATCAAAATGAGAAAAATTAATCTCCCATGTTAGTTTGGCATTTATGTTACTTATTTCCAATTTATTCTGACAAGGAATCAGTAGATTGCGAGGTTGAGGGTTTATTTTTAAATTAAAATAATATTTTGTATTTTGCCCAACAAAGTAGAAAGCTTAAAACTGCTTCAGTAGACATAGTCCTTTATAAATGAAAGGAATAAATGAAAGGAAATAAACAGCTCAGTGGTGACGTAAATGCAGATGAATCACCTGCTCAAATCGACTCTATTGCTTTGTATAGCTGAGTCAAAGGAGCTTGCAAAGAAGACTTCAGCTTTGTATAGGTGAAGTCTTCTGTTCAAAAATGTTCAAACCTTGCAGCGTGGCCTATTGCAGACAAGACTTCACAAACAAACCACCCAGACAGTACGACTCTAACCCACAGTGTGGTCTGCTGTTGGTGGGGGTGTCAGATGTCAGACCGCCCCCGAAGGTCAAGGTCAAGTTTAACGTGAAAGGTGGGTGGGTTGGGGGGTTACAGCCAGAAAGACAGACATATTGTAATGAGTTCAACTTCAAGTTCAAGACCACCGCACACCTTGAAACTCACTCTCTCTGTCTGCGTGTGCTTGTGTGTCACCATGGTTGTGTTCAAAATTGCTTAGATGATGCCACACACGGATGAGGCCCAATGTTACCACTATAACCGGTATGGAGTTAAATCAGCAGACTGCAATTCACTCAAAATGAATCGTGAATAAAAAATAAAACCATTCTCAATAACATAGAAGTCAACAGACTCACAGGGAGACTGAAAAGTCGTTTCTGAAAATAATAATAATAATAATATTTTCACTTTCAAATACACAGCGCTATGAGGATAGTACACTTTATTTCAAGCCTGAATCGTCCTCTGGTCTTCGTCAGGGCATTTTGTCATGTATGTATTTTCTCTTTTTAATCTAAATACAGTCTATAGACAAATAAAGCTAATACATCATTTATTTTAGAAAAAGAAAATGTTGTGTCATATTCATTGATACATTTCATTAGTTTACTAGGCTAACCCTATTTCTCTGGGCTACTGTGAAATTACTAAAACATTCCCAGTCTCATTTTCCCCATATTTCTGCAATCCATGAATCGAAATCAGCGGTATAGGTTATAAAATGTCATACAGTAAGTGAGAGATGAAATTTAACGGCTAAAGCAAGCATAAACTGATATATTTTATTTTAAGAAATTTACACGGTAGGTACGTGGGATGTTCTACCTCCTGAACTACGGGAGTGGTTCCTGCCACAAGGGTGGCTGGCACCCAAAAGGTAGAACATGTCAGTTATTACTTGGAAGATTTGTGGTTTGATTCCTAACTGCTTCAGTCTGCATAATTTAGAAACAAACCCCAAGTTGCTCTCCGCTGTATCCATCAATCAGAATGGGTTAATTGAACACGATTTGAGCGCTCAGGTAGAGCAGGAAAGCGCTATGAGAAGCAGGGCATATAAATATTGGAAAACGTAACATCAAAAGAAAATACAGCCGACTACGCGTTCCCCAGAAACGTTACAAACTGTACGTGTCAAATTATATCTGCGTCGACTTAATCATGTTTTAATGTTTTGATTTCATTTGGTGATAGTTATAGGTTAATTACACCGATTAGTCTGCGTAAAAAAGAATTAAATAAATACACATCTAAATGTCATGTTTTTACCCTCATAAAGGCCAGTGGAACGGTTTCACAGGTCTTCTAGCATTTGCTTTTAGAAATCCTGCGAATGTAAAAATATCGTATATGCTATATCAGTTATTTCATTTGATGACTTAGAACAATAGACTTAGATTAAACGTATAAAATCACCCTGCCTAATAGAAAATAATAAATTTATACAGGGGTTTAGGGTTGCAGGACTATAATATAATAGAATATATTAAGCTGGAAAAAAATGGTATTACAACATTGGACACATTTTAGAATGTTAAGATGAGAACAAAACTGGTTTCATATAGTATTATGTACTTCTCCCTTTGGCTTTCTGTGTAATAAATTGTGAAAAAGACGGTTGCGCAGATCGATCCTGGTGCTTTTACGTGGTCTTGTCTTATTCTCCATCTTGAGCAAACTCTTGAAGGTTATCATTGCATTGCAGGTTTGTTTCAGTTTAAAGAACTGCATCCATTGTAATTTCACGGTGCATCCAGGCTTGATGCAAATGCAGTAAACAAGGAACATTTGCAGCCTGAAAATATGGATTGAAGTATGAAAAACGCTCCGGTTTCATAACACAATACCACTTCCGGCTTTCTTTTAGGTTACCTGATCCCAAAAAAGAAAAAGAAAAAAGTCTGAGCTGTCACCTAATTGACATGACCTGTCCAAAGTTCAAATTTATTCCAAAGGTGCCGTGGCTGAAAGTAATTCGTTATCCAGACTTTTTCTTGAACTTCATTAGACTTAATGTCACTGATCTAAATTTAATTCAGCAATTTACATCCGATACAAAGCCGTAAGAGCTTCAGTAGAATAATGGAAGGAAAGTTGCCAGGCAGTGGCTGTAATCTTTACACTAAATTTCCAATAATGTTAGTTACATTTATACCTCTAGTTTTATAAAGATATATTTAGAAAATATATGCTGTATAGTCAATATATCGAACTAATTACTTACTATGGTATAAGTTATTAATTAAAGTATATACAATAGTGTAGAGGAACTAGGTCAAGCATAATGCTGTAGTATCTACGATTAATCACATGAATGTGTGAATATATTATATTTGTAGGAAGTGTACAAAATACCATGCAATCAACATATTTAGCTGATTGTATGTAGCTTATTTAAACATTCCTGAGTTTAGCTGCACCAGTCAGCAGTGTTTCAAATAGGCTACCTTTTTTATAATCTTCATGTTTAATTCAGCAGTAAAAACATATTAAATCATTAGGGTATTCAGTATTGATATAAAATCCTCGAACTTTATTTCAAATATGACTTTTACATTCACACACAAACATTAAAATACACTGTGGAATAGCATTGTTAAATAAAGAGTGTAAAGGTAATTTTGTACACACTTTGAAAACCTCCATTCACAAAATGGACAACTTGGTCCTCTAAAGAGCAATATACAATCTTGAAAAAATATAGTAAGTTAAAATTATAAATTAAGCTACATAATAGAATAAAGTTTTCAACACCCTATTAACTGCAGTCATGATATGTATTAACTCAAAAAATAACCTGATTTGAGCCAGTTTAACTCACTGTATGCCACAGGTCTAGATCTATGGAATCCAAGCTGTAGCCCTCTTGCCCTGCTCTCCCTATGGTCTTAGTGGAAGGTTGGCTGTCAAGAAGCCATTATTAAGGAAAGGAAACAGGGTGAAAGGGGTTAGGTGTGAGAAATTACACAAGAAATGGACTAAACATCAGTGCCAGCAGGTCTGATGGAGTGATTAATGTAAATTTGACATTTTGTATCAAATCATCAGGATGTACAGAGGAAGTCAGGGGAGAGGTACATCAGTGAGTGGCCACAGGAATCTGAAAGGGTTGTTTTCACACCTGCAGTGTTGAACTTCTTTAAACTGGTTTGTTTCCACCATGGCTGCAGTTCACTTGAGCAGATGTAAGCATAGTAATCAAACTTGGGTGCCAACCAAAAACTGCTTTGAAGGAGGTGGTATAACGAACTGTAGTGTGGTTAATCTCAATTCAATTTTATTTATACAGGGCCATATCACAACAGCAGTCACCTTAAGGCATTTCTTGTAATCCGGACTGTACAAAAATATTTACAGAGAGAAACCCAACAATCATATGAGCCCCTATGAGCAAGCGCTTTGGTTACAGTAGGAAAGAAAAAATTTCTTTTAACAGGAAGAAACCTCCGGCAGAACCAGGCTCAGGGAGGGGTGGCCATCTGATGTGACAGGCTGGGGTTATCGGAGGAAGAAAGAACAAAAGGCATACTGCGAAAGAGAGCCAGAGATTAATAACAAGTAATGATTCATTGCAGAGAGGTCTATTAACACATAGTGAGTGAGAAAGGTGACTGGAGAAGAAATACTCAATGCATCATCCCCCAGCAGCCTACACATATTGCAGCATAACCAAGGGAGGATTTAGGGTCACCTGATCCAGTTATATGATTTAGCAAAAGGGAAAGTTTTAAGCCTAATCTTAAAAGTAGAGATAGTGTCTGTCTCCTGAATCTAATTTGAAAGCTGGTTCCATAGCAGACGAGCCTAAAAGCTGAAGTGTCTGACTCCCAGTCTATTTTTAAAAACTCTAGGAACAACAAGTAATCCTGCAGTGGGAGCACTTCCCACTGCAGAGTTGCAGAGTTGTGGACTGGAGTCACATGACTTGGACTCGAGTCAGGCTCGAGTCATTAATTTTATGACTTTAGACTTGACTTGAAAAAATGTTCTAAGACTTGTGACTTGACTTGGATTTTTACACCAATGACTTGGGACTTAAATTGGATATGAACCTGTTTACTTGAAAAGACTTGATATTTTACCCCAAATATGAAATTTTATTAAATATTAAATTAAATATATAAAAAGTGCGTACCATTAATTCATTTAATTCATTCTTACCACACTCCGTATGTATGTGTGCAATGACTGTAGCACAGCCAATCAAATAAACTAGATTTAAAAAAACAACAAAAAAACGTTTCAGACAAAATTTTGGCCAGTAAGATCTGGCGGGGGGGGGGGGGAGAAGGGGGGGGCTCGTGGACGAGTCGATCAAATTCAAAATTCATAAAATTCAAATTCAAATTTTATTTGTCACGTACACAGTCATACACAGTACGATATGTAGTGAAATGCTTGGACAACTGCTCGTGACCTAAAGAAAACAAAAAAGGAAAAGGCTATGAATAAGATAGGAAATAAATATGAAAAATTAAAAAGGGTAAATTTAACTAGGAAGGAATAAAATATAAATTAAGGTTAAAAATGAAATAACTGTACAACACAAATTAGAATGAAGGGTAAATTTAACTGGGAAAGAATAAGATAAAATATATAAATTAAAGTTGAAAATAAAATAACTGTACAACAAAATACACAATATAGAACTATATAAGAATGTATGAAGAAATATAAATAAATATATACACAATAACAGCAGCTGTACAAGTATTAACTGGAAATGAAGAATATAGTGACCAGTGTTGTGCAATCCACATTATGTCTTGTGCAGTGCAAATATGCTTAAAGTGATTTAAGTGATGAAGTGAAAACAATGTCCAGAATGTCCAGTGTGTGTGTAAGAACTATATGTGTGGGTCAGTACTGTGTGGTGGTGTGATTGAGAGACCGTATCGCCTGCGGGAAGAAGCTCCTCCTCAGTCTCTCTGTGTTGGTCTTCAGGGAGCGGAATCGCTTTCCTGACCTCAACAGAGAGAACAGTCTGTTGTTGGGATGGCTGAGGTCCTTCACGATCTTCCTGGCCTTGGTCCAGCACCGCCTGCTGTAGATTGAGTGCAGGTCAGGGAG